TTTGATGATCGGGCTTCGAAATAATATCCGTTTACCGAATAAAATCTGGATAAATTCCGTTGCGCAGAACCGGCTATTGTGGGAATTTATATTGTAKCAGTTTAAACTTCTACTTATCCAGAATAGACATATCCAATATATGTCTTGCGCGCAATTAGTTTCCTGATGGCATTGGCCAGCTCTCTGCATGCCTTATCAACCCCACTCATCTGACAGCCCTCTCCCTTTGTTTCGATCCCGTCGAGAAAGCATATTTGTTGGACCTTCCGTTGGATGACGTCGACGACAATTTAGCTTATCCTTATTATCCCAACGGGATTAGGTACCCGTTACAAAAAGAACAGGATTCAGACAACTTTCTAATTTAACCACCCCAGATCACTTTGATCGCAGCGGTAAGCGCGTAAGCGGTGCCCACGCCAATTAAAAAGGCACCTTTAATCTCGTATTCGTACTTTAGATTCCTCCGATATGTTGAGAGCAGTCTAGTCAATATACTCTTTAGCAATAACTTAAATTTCCACACTGTTTCTACCGATTTCTGTGCTAAGTTCTATACCGTTAGGTGTGATCGTAGTGCTGTTTTAAGACAGATATAGTTTAGTAGGAGCTTCTGTCAGGCATAAGCTAGCTGTCAAGTATGGTCGTATYTATACTTCCGCCATTTCTTTCATTYCATCAATTTTTTGGATTACCAAAGATGGAAAAATGTTCTAGGTCTAGTATTTAGTATATTTTGATTATCGATTATAAACTCTTTTATTAAAAACATATATTTTTAGTACTAAAATCTTCATAATGCCTACATACTCTTGTATTTCTCTTCTCTCTCGCTCTCCGTGGTTCCACTTGTAGCACGTACGTACTCTTTATCATTACATACATTTCATATTTACAAATACAAGCACATATCAGTCGTATGATATTATATTTGTGTACATTTAATATTAATAAGCATGGAGTAGAATGAAAGCTGATAGGAAATGTAATCTTTTCAAACTGCTTTACTCAATTATAAATTACAATGAATATAACGCTCCTTGGTAAAAGCGAAAATGCATGCAAATATGATATTTATACACAAATGGAAGCATAAACTCAGGCAATTAACAGCCTATTTTGCCATATCGCTTATTAATCACACACATATATTTCTTATATTCTCGGCTTTCATTTAGCAGTTAGATCACAAAATTGATTTGCCAACAAAAGATTTACAAATTTTCAAAAGTTTCATTTGTTGCGTCTRATTGACAATTAATTAAATTAATTATAACTAATTGCTAGATATGACAATTAATTTAGAGATTCTTAGTTTTTGTTTAATTACGGGGTCAGCAGGGTAATTTGGGCTGTTTTTTTGAAATTTTTTTGTTCAAAGAAATTTTTATTCTACAATACATAGAACTTTTTTCCCACATCGTGGAGTGTATAAACAAACTTTTTCGGAATTTTTTGAAGATATCTGTCGGAGAAATGGCTGTTGGAATGAGATGCGTGTTTTCACTGGCGGACACGAGTTCCCATGTTGTTTGGATCATCTGAAACACAAAAACTCAATTTATTCTTGAAATATACTGGATGGTTATCGTCCCTACGAATTGGTAAAAAATGTTGACAAATAAAAAAGTAATTAATGTTTTTTTGTTTGTAATTTTTTTCCATGTTTTTTCACATAAATTTTGTCTTAACATTGTCCACAAATTATAAAAAATTATGAATCTAGTAGGGACGATAGCTACGCGTTTTGCGAACGTTCAAAAACAAAAAAAAAAAAAAAAAAACAGGAGGTGCGCACTCCGAATGTCGAGCGGTATTATTATTTTTGGGCTTTTTACGAAACCTTCCAATGGCAAAATGGGTTTCTACATTAATTCCAAAGGCATAAGGGAAGAGAAAATGCTAAAAAAATAAAAAAAAAATTTTAAAGCTGAACAGTTGGGTAATATATGGTCTATGTCAATAACCCAGCTTCGATGAACTTCGTACGAATATCGAACGTTATCGTTTTTTTCGAATATACTTTGAATCAACTGCTTCCAATTTCGACTTCTACATTTGCACGTTTCATAAATTTATGACAGTCTGTGCTGCATCTGTTAATTCAAAGAAAAGCCAGATTTATACTGAGAAAACTTGGCACCAGCAGTTTCAATTAAATTCAGATTTTCGTGGATCTTCTCGGCAAAAATTTAGTTGTATTGAATGCAGTGTTCTTAGCAAAGAAATTCTGAATCAGCAAAACTAAAAATGTTTCCATATGGATGGCTATTCCTTGCATAACAAGAGTGAGGGTAAGCGATTTATAAAAAAGATTGCATAAAAAAAAAATGTGTATAATATATATATATTTTTGAGAGTCTTGGTGTCAGGTTAGATTAGATCAGGTAGGCCTTGAGGCCAATAGAAATCTACATAAGCATTCAATCCTATCTGAAAGTGGAGCTTACACTTTATTAAGCCTAGATCTAGTAAAGGCGAGACAATCAAGAAGAAAGTATTGAGATGTAGGCGATAAAGTACTGGTCAGTTAGAAGTCACTAAACTTAGGAGAGATTAGACTTCATGAAGCCACAGAGTACAATAAACCTCTTGTGTTCGATCTTGCGCTACAAGGATCTTGAGACAGCGCAAGTATTGATGGTTGCCCAGCGCTCGCGAAGCTGTCGCAAAGCCCAGCTATCAGTGATATAATGTTATCAGTTAGTAACTACCGAAGACTCAAAACYCCTTTTCAATTTTGAAAATTACATTCATTACGTTTTTACTTTTTGTATTGCATTTTATTTTTTTTTTTATATATTTTTGAGATCTTTGACTTTAATTTGCTTTCATTCCAACATTTTAAAATATTTACTTGACATACAACTCTCTAAAATAATCATCTTCAAAACTCAGTTACCCCGAAGAGTATGACTATGACGTCGAAATTTATGTTTTAAAATTACTCTTTCCGCATGAGTACAACACCGGCAATGCCAGGGCACATTGTTTCGATAAGGAGGGCACCGATGCTGAGTGTCCACATACCCACTACAGGGAACTAACGGAGAAGGTATGCTATGGTCTAAATATACATAAAATTAACGAGATTAGTGCAAGGTTTAAACCTGTCTACTAACTGGTTTCCAGCTTCATGAGAACTGCTCCAACGTTTTAGTGGAATGTTCGCTCGGTCACAAGGCTTTCAACTGCTGTCAGTACTTTGTGCCACTGCTTACACCTTACGGCTACTGTTATCTTTTGAATTCGARGCAAAACAATCATCCGTAAGTTATACTCGTTAATAAAAATCACTCAGAACGAATTCCAGTAATAGATGTAGAGGGTATAAAGATGATGTAATTTTCTAAAGACCTATATATGATGAGCAACAGTATTTAGAATTTGTATATAAAATCGTAACGCTTCAGAGACGATCAATATATATCGGGTCTCTCTTTCCAAATATTCACAAAAAAAAAAAAAAAAAAAAAAAAAAAAAAAAAAAAAAAAAAAAAATTTAAAAAAAAAAAAAAAAAAAACAGCCCAGCGAACGGACAGAGAAATTTTTTTCATGTTCCGAGATGTCTGCCATAAAGATAGTACTATAACTACGGCTCCGAAGCTCAGCCTGCCTCAGACTGGTGACTATACACTCATCCGGCCTAGAGTGTGCTGATTATGCGCTCAAAACTAGTGAAAGGATGTCTACACTCCATAGCTTTAGCATCGAGTTATTTTATGATTASATTAGTTTCGATGCCTGACCAAAGCGTTATTGTGTTAAATTCTAAGGCTAATGAGCTTGCTCGTACAGGTACTTCAGTTTCAATAACTGCGAGTTGGGAGCGGATAAAAGTTCTTTTGGCTTCTTGTGCTTGACTACTGGATTGTTGTGTCTCAGACCAACTCAAGAAATATTGGCCTACTATCAGTAGCTGTGCAGTAGTAATATCCTCCCGGCACAGTGTAAACGTAAAAGGTTTGAAGGCAAAACACCTGGAATCTCAAAGTAAAGCAACTTGAAATAGCGAAAATGGAAGTAAAACAGCGAAGTAGACTTGTAATATGTTTTTTTTCTGATAACTAATAACCAATTATAGAAGTTTTCCGTTAGGCATCTCAAATAAATGTACATAAMAGTCYAAGATCTCGCCGCATATCTGAGAGAACATCTAATCTACATCGTCATCTAACCTAAGCTCWCGCCGAATTTCTTTATCACAACAGCGACAGCAAACAATGGTTCCCGAGTGAGGTGGAGGACAATCATGCCACGATGCGCCTGGTCACCGATGTTGCAGTCGAGGTATGCTTGAGATCAAAGACTTGACACACTTAAATATGCATATGTCACACAGGTTTTCGTGCTCAACGAGGAGGACATACCTTATGCTAATCTAGCTGGTATTACAACAAAGGTGGCAACACCAGGTAAACATACAGACCTACAAATATCCGTGCAAGAAATGGTTAACGAYATAGATGTGCGTGAAGTGTCACCAGAGCATCGGGGTTGTCGTTTCTCCGACGAGATCATGYCGAAATCATCGTTTCGCGTCTAYAGCTTCAGCGCCTGCATTGTCGACTGTATTGCCGCGTTACAAATGCGTTACTGCAATTGTACGATATTCAATTTAATGCCGTCGGCGCGTGTGGATATGCCCGATTGTGATTATAACGGACTTTTGTGTTTGGAGAAGGAAACGAAGGTGTCGCCCGATATTAAATTGCTGCTGCCATGGCCAGAGAATAATGAAACGTGTGATTGCTTGCCGTCGTGCACTGAACACGACTTACGTGCGGTKTCCGAGTATAGTCCGAGGTTTGTAGTGTCGGTTCGTTTGCTTTGATATGCTCTCAATTTAAAATTGTATGCCTTATTTTGTCTTATATCACAGCGGTCGCAAAGGTGTAGAAAGGCGCAGTGTTGCCATCAGCCTTGTTGATCGCCCCACTGAGCGTTATCGTCGTCAGGCGTTGCGTACGCGTTTGGATGTTGTGGTCACTATCGGTGGCATATTGGGTTTATTTTTGGGCGCCAGCATTCTAAGTCTCATCGAGCTTGTTTACTACTTTACCTTGCGGCTTTACAATAATATCCAAATGATAAGAAAGAACGAGAGAGCACAAAATAGAGTAGTCCAAAAAGCCACAATAAAGGGTGCGAGTATAAATRAAGGAAGTAAATGAAGATTTCCATTTGTTAAATGTATTTCATCATCAAACTAAGATTTATGCAATTCTTTAATGCGCTTCACTGCACCCTAATTTTATAGCTTACTCAAGATTAAATAAAAATTATATGAAGTCTCATTGCAAATTTTCAATVTCAGTTTTCTATATTATCGTTCTTTTATACTCTCGCAACAAAGTTGCTAAGGAGACTATTATAGTTTTGTTCACATAACGGTTGTTTGTAAGTCCTAAAACTAAAAGAGTCAGATATAAGGTTGTATATACCAAAGTGATTAGGGTGACGAGTAGAGTTGAAATCCGGATGTCTGTCTGTCCGTCCGTCCGTCCGTGCAAGCTGTAACTTGAGTAAAAATTGAGATATCATGATGGAGCTTGGTACACGTATTTCTTAGCTCCATAAGGAGGTTAAGTTCTAAGATGTTCAAAATTGGCCCACTGCCACGCCCACAAAATTTCGAAAACCGAAAACTTATAAAGTGTCATAACTAAGCCACAACTAAAGATATTAAAGTGACATTTGGCACAGAGGATCGCATTAGAGAGTGGCATATTTGGACGTAAGTTTTGGAAAAGTGGGCGTGGCCCCGCCCCTTACTAAGTTTTTTATAGATATCTCGGAAACTACTGTAGCTATGTCAACCAAACTCTCCACAGTCGTTTCCTTCAGGCATTTCCATATAAAGTTCAAAAACGGAGGAAATCGGATAATAACCACACCCACCTCCCATACAAAGGTTATGTTGAAAATCACTAAAAGTGGGTTAACCGACTAACGAAAAACGTCAGAAACACTAAATTCTACGA